CTGGTTAAGCTATGACTCCTCAGACCAGTATGAGTAATCTTTATTCTAATGCTTCGATTCAAATCCTACTCAGTGGTTCTTAAGTAATATAGGTTAAGCCATGATATAATGTAAGATGCATGTATCCCTTTTAAAGTCAACCATGCAAATTTTGAATAAAATCCATCTAAAACTAGGGGTGAAAATCAGTTGGGTCAGGTCGGGTTTATGATAAACTGAGCTCTGATCTTAAAACTTAGGTTTAAGGCCTGAGCCTAATCTTCCCAATCCAAGCCTAGCCTATATTTTAATTTAATGCATTTGGGTTCGGTTGGATTCGGGTTGGTCAATAAACCTACTCTAAAATTATACATATATGTATTTATGTAAATATGTATACATGTATTTATGTATATATATATATATATGCACGTATAAATATGTATAATTGGACCGGACATGAACTGTATTCGAGCTACCTATAAAAGATAGGCCTAAGCCCAGTCCGAAAAATAAAAAAGACCGATTTCTTGGGCCTAATCTCAGCCCGAAGACTGAAAATCCAACCCCAACCTATATAAAATTTCAGGGTGAACCCGCCCAAAGTTGCACCCCAATATAAAACCTTGATGTATGGATAGATTAATTATAATGTTGCAAGCCATTATGCTCTTTAATGCGTCGTCTAATCACCCAATACTTAGGAACTTAATTTGTGTCCAGTGTACTAGATGAATCGGTCTCGCTTATGGCATCTTTCTCCTCTGTAAAGCTTAATTGTTATCTATTTGTCAAATTCCTTTGAGTTTGAACATTTTCTTTGCATTTGTTGCAAACGTTTTTTTTAACTGTGATAAGACAAACTAGAAAAATAGACAATGTAATTTCATTTCATGAATCAGGATATTCTATTTGATGTCGAATTTTGATCCCTTGAATATCATAATTCTAATTTCTAAAGCTTCCCCAATTGCCACATGTTGTCAGATAAGATGATCAAAAGATATTATTCCAAATAAAGCATTTTATACGTGAATAGTATATTTTTTAACAAATTCTGTCTTACCCCAATCTTCTCTGTATCAATGGACTAATAGGAATATCTTCCTCTCTTTTGCGCGGCTGATACTGCAGTGATGAAACATCTATAGAGTTCCCATCTAATTTACACAAGACATAGATAGCTTGATATTGCTATATATAGTATTTGAATTCTTTAGCCTTATATTGTTCTTCATTTTGGAACTTTAAACTTGTAGAAACATGAAATTGCATTCAATAAGTTTTGAACACTATCGTAAAACAAAAAATATAGAACAAATACTTTGGTTCTTTGATTTACTTCTGTTTTTTCCTATGTGAATGTTGATTAGTTCCTAATGATCTATTCTCTTATTGCCAATAGGAAAGGTTATTTTGAAGTATGCAATTTCAATAGCTACAATGGTTTTGAGCCTTACTCTTTAAACATTCCGAACAGCCAAGAGGGGGTAAGATTTTAGCTTTCTTAGGCTCTTCCTGTTTGGGTCCCTCCTTATGATGATTGATCCCCTATTTTATTGCTTTTGAAATATAGAATTTGCTTCCTCTTCTAATGGTATTTTAGCTTCTGTTCTCCTTATGTAAAATTTTGATATATAGTTTATGGTTTCATAGTAAGTATCATTTTTTTAGGCACACACATGTGCATGCGAAATTTGACGCTCACATTCACTAGAAAGCAATATAAATTTGTGAATTTGTGGTCAATAATTTTTATTTTTTATTTGATAGTTTACTACAAGTGATTCGGATTTCATCCAAATTTCTTAATGAATTGTAGCCCTTCTTAGGGGGGGGGGATTAAGGGGTAAAGATTCTTATGATGTGTATTGTTAATAATGAAACATAGGATATGGAATTTTTTTCTACAAACAAGGGAGAATCTGTTATACATTGAAAGTAAGAATTCTTGAAAAGATCCATCTTACATGGTTTTAAAAAACAACCCAGAAATGGAATCGTTCTGGTCATCGGTTTCTGAATCGACGGTTTGACCATTCAGTTCGAACGGATGGTCTATTCTGATAATAAAAATTAAAAAAATAATAATAATTAAAAATAAAAAATGGCCCAAAACCATTGAACAGGTCGATGGATTGACAGTTCGACCGCCAGGTATCAGGTTTAGGGTAAAATAGAACCGGTTGCCTGGATGATTCCTGGGCCAATCCTGATCAACGGCAATTTAAAAACCATGCCTTCTCATCTGTATGAAAAATGAAGTTTTTGATTAGACACCTTTGTTTAATGACTTGTGGACCTGAATGCTGATTTGAACCAGCTCTCCCTAAATGGCCATGTTATAAGGCTCTTTTTACTTTAATTTTGTGAAACAAATCCCACAAATTTAAAAAATAAATACAAATTCATACAATAATTATAAAAACTAACAAACATTAAATACAAATTTGTCAAACAAAATATAAACCCAAAAATAATGTTTGGAGTGAATTAGGTCTGGATTGGCCCAAGTAGTAGCTCATAAGAATCCTTCTGTCTAAATTTCGTGTAACAAAGCCCGTGCATCAGGGGTCCCTACTAGCTTGTGCATGTAATTAGGGGTGCTCATTATATGGTCTAGACCACTAAACTGAATTAAACCAAACTAAAATTGGTGGTCTGATATGGTCTCTGGCATTAAAAACGGTCTGATTGGGTTTGAGAATTTCTCAGATCATATTTTCTAAATTTCAGAAACCAACCCAAACAAATCGCCCTTTTGTGTTGCTCATCCTCTCCACTTTGAAATTTCTGTTTCCTTCACTCAGGGAGTTCGAGTTCTTCCATCAAAGAAATCTTTGAACCACGTCACAGCTTTACCTATTAGCAAAGCTGAATCTCTCTTCGGCCTTCTCGAATTTTCAGCGTGGGCTCTCCCTGACTAATGTGCTCTTCCAGCAGCATGAAGTCCTTATCTTCAACGTTAAATGCATTGTCTCTTCCATTTCCTAGCCTGTGAGAATCCTTCTTCGACTTCCATTAAATCCCCGCCCCATCATGGACCTTCTATGTATCATGTATGTTTCACTAGGAGTTATCCAGTAGTAACGTATGAAATAGTTCCTTGTTAAGAACTTCATGAGAAGTATTTCAATGGAACACGTTTCGTCTTCCCTCCGACGTTTTCTCTATCACGACTCTTTGGAACGTTTAATATACCAAGTTAAGTTGAGAGTTGACGAGACCAAACTTCAAGATATAAAACGTTGAGACAAGACTTCAAGAGAAGAAACTGAGAGTTGTGAAAGGGTATTGAACTTTATTTGGAGCTTAATTTATCCTCTTTCATTGTTTTTGTGTTTTGAAGTTTGAAGATACGTTTCTTATTCCGTTCTGTGCTTCATGTATTTGCAGAACTCATATTTGTCTCAAGTTGCAGAGCTCATTCTTTTTTGTCTCATCGATCATTCTGGATTTTCCATCCCATTTATCCCAGGTATGCCCCTTTTCTCCCAGGTTAACTTCGGAGACTATTTCGATGATAGAATTATGGTCCATTACTCACCGTCTTTTTCTTGGCTATTTCGCCGGTTTCTTGCCGGAACTCGACTTCTGGGAAGTCTCCGACGTCCACGAGACCTTTTTTTTTCTGATAAACCGTCCACGGGACGTTTCGGATAGCAATAAAAAGCAAAAATCGTGCAATAGTACCATGATAACATCACATCCAGCCGCAAATCTGTAATATCTCTCATGCTTGAATGCTTAATTGAAGGCTGGATTCCGTGCTTTCAAGATATATGCATGATTTTTGCTTTTAGGAGATCATGTCTCGTTGCCGTAACGTTGTATTCACTTTTTGGACCGATCCGGCCATCACTATTTTAATCCGCCGATCCGGCTCTCGAATTTAATGGGTTCTATTATGATGCCGAAAAAAACATATCTGAAAAATTTACAACCAATCAACCGACATTACAAAAGAACCAATCAAGTGTTTTCACGAAAATTCACTGAGAGTTTGATTTTTCAAAGCCTTGTCTTTCCAGCATCATAGATTTTCTTATAATAAGTTATTAATACTAATAAAATTCAATATAAAAACTAAACTTAAGATAAATAATTATTCAATGATAACAAAGTTAAAAAAAAAAGATAAATTTAAAAGGCATAATTAAGTAGTACAAAAATAATAAAATACATGAAATTTATAATATTAATATTTATTAATGTACTTATGTAAATCATAACAAGTCATTTTGAGCCTTAAAAATAAAGTAAATAAATAATAATAGAAGTTAATAAATATTAAAAATAAATGCAAGAAAAATAGAACGAAACTAAATTTAAGAAGAGTAAGGTAAAATAAAAGAGTGAAGTTTATAAAATTCAGTACTTAAAATCAAAATTAAGGGAAAAAGTTAAAAATAAAATACATAATTTGGTTCTAAAAATAATAAAATTTAGTAAATGAAAATGACAATTAATCATAATTTAAAGTTTAATAAAATGTAATAATTGAAAATATAGGAAAACTAAATTTGAGAAAAATAAGTATACAATGATAACAAATTAATAAAGTTAAAAATTTTTTAAAATATAATTAAGTTACATGGTAATAATAAAATAATAACAACAGTAAAATGTAATATGTGAAAATTATAATTCAATTAAAATTTATTAATGCACTTATGCAAATAATAAATAACTAATTTTGAGCATTAAAGGAATAAAGTAAAATTAAAATGAAAAAAAAAAATATTGAGATTAATGAAAAGTAAAAAATAAGTTTAAAAATCATTGTCAAAATAATTTGTTTTGATTATTGGTTTATAATTATCGAATCGGATATTGGTTTATAACAAATTAAGCCCATGCATTGCATCAGGCCCTACTAGTGCATTGTTCAAACCTTTCTTCTACAATTCTAATCTTTCATCAATTGAAATTTAAAGAAGTGTATAAAAAGAGGATTTCTAGTAATCCCTCCTCTAACTCACACTTTATGTATTTTGTTTCTTCATTTCTGATTAGGAGCTATGAAAGGGCTTCTTGCTTCTTTTCTTTTACTCACTCTAGTTGCACCTCTAATCGGTGCAAACAAGAACAGTAACAGCAGTAATACTACATATAACGTGCTCGATTTTGGAGCAGTGGGTGATGGTAGTGCAGATGATTCTCAGGTTCATTTTCTTTCTTTCTCTCTTTCTCTCTCTCGACATTTCAGCTGCAATTCCTTTCTTTTGATAGTTTCTTTTTTTTTTTTTTTTTGATGCTCTTGTGGTGTTAGGCCTTCAAAGAAGCTTGGCAAGCTTCTTGCATGTCTTCTGATGATTCCCCAATAATGCTTATTCCAAATGGAAAAACATTCTTGTTGAGACCTGTGACATTTAGTGGTGGTTGCAAGTCTAATAACATTCATGTCCAGGTAAAATTAAGGAAAATTTCCCGATCACTACCCTATATTTTGACTTGAGTGACAATTTGGTAACCGAACTTTAAAATGCAACAATCCAGTACCCAAACTTTTAAAATGTGACAATCTAGTACCTGTCATTAACCAGTCCACTAATTAATCGTTAAGTGACACTTGAAAAGTCAAAAATTCTCTAAGAATGCCATCTAATTCTCTTTATCAACCATTCAAACATTGACAATAAAATGAACAGTCCCCAATTCTAGATTCTTCTAAATAGTCACCTACTTTGGGTCTGTTCAGTTTTTTGTCAATGTTTGGATGGTTGATAAAGAGGATTAGATGGCATTCGAATGACAATTTTGAATTTTCAAATGTCACTTAACGGCTGATTAACGGACTGGTTAACGGTAGGTACCGGATTGTCACACTTTGAAAGTTTGAGTACTGGATTGTCGCATTTTCWGTTTTTTTGCCATAAACTCATTATTCTTGAAAAGCTTTTGTTGTTCTTCCTTTTTCATTTCAACTTCTTACTTCTTAGCTCTTTCTTTTTCCATTTCTTTTTCAGTTTATAAAACAAGTCAAACTTGGTTATTCCCTTATTGTTTTTTCTTGTTTTGTGGCTTTTTCAGATAAATGGAAATATAATAGCACCGAGTGAACATTCACAATGGGGATGTTACGAGACAGACTGTGATCACTGGATTACATTTGCTAATTTGGATGGGCTCTATATTGATGGCTCAAATGCTATTATTGATGGCCAAGGTTCAAAATGGTGGAGTCGATCATGCCAAGATGAAAATAATGTAAGTTTCAATTTTAAAGTTAATTAAATCAACATTAATCATGATATTAAATTGTCATCAATTCACATATATGTTGAAGGACATATGGTTTTTGCAAATCATTGTGTATTGGTAAGAAAACAATATTCATATCAATGCTTAATCTTATTTTTAATTTGACTTGATGTACTTAAGTTTTTTTTATCTATTTATTTATTTTTTTCTAATTCCTTTTTTTATCTTCATTTTTTCTAATTAGGTATGCCACATGCGCCCAAATGTGAGTTGGACAACTTTAATGTTTATTTTTGTTGAACATTAATTTTTCTTTTATTGTAACCATACTTATTTTCATGAATTAATGGTGTTATTATTAATTTGAAATTTTCAGGCATTTTTTCTAGAACATGCCAACAATGTTCACATTAAAAATTTAAACTTTATGAATAGCCCCGGAATGCATCTTATTATTGAAAGATCAACATGGGTGTATGTTTCAAATGTCACTATAACAGCCCCTCAACAAAGTCCAAACACAGATGGCATACATATTCAAGAAAGCACAAATGTTTTTATATACAATTCTTCCATTGGAACCGGTATATTATTCTACTTTGTCTCGTCTTTATATCAAATAAGGCTCAGTTTGGAAGGAGTGCAAATACAAATTTGTAGAGTACAAAATTTTGTATTTTGTATTATTTTCTATCTATTTGCATTGTACATATTTGTATTTGTACTCTTTTCAAACTGAGCCTAAGCTATATTCATTTTTCATTTGAAATGTATTAAAACTTGTAGAGTTATTTGGAATATAGGTGATGATTGTATTTCAATTGGTGGTGGAACATCGTACCTTAACATTAGTGGAATTTCATGTGGTCCTGGTCATGGCATAAGGTAAGAGAAATATTATTTATTTAACTAATGTTCATTGCTATTATTGTTATTTGTTTATGATTATATAGTTAAATATGGTGCCAAATTTGTATCTATACAGCATTGGGAGTCTAGGTAGGGAAGGGAGAGAAGAGCAAGTAGAATATGTTCATGTAAGCAACATCCAATTCAAGAAAACTTCAAATGGGGTTCGAATAAAAACTTGGCGGGTAATCTTTCTTTTCTATGACTTAATTGAATATAAATAACAAAATTATTTTGTAGTAATATATTTCTCTTTTTGGTTGTATTATGCAGTCGCTTGTAGTAATATCTTCCTTAATTTTTTTATATGCTTTGGTCGTTATAGTTTTATCTTCTTAATTCTCAATTTGGTCTTCACTTCTTCTTTCTTTTCATTGTTCTTGATTATTGTAGTATCTTGAGTTGTATTCTGAGCATTTCTTGGATGAAAGAAAATTGTTATTTGCAGCTTCAGAAATGATTGCATTACATGTTAATTAATATATGATATACAAATTATAATACAACTAGCTAGCATGGGACCTGTGTAATGCATGGACTTTATTAAGCGAAAGTTAAATAATAGTTTAATCTCCAATAATTATTAAAAATTTATAGCAAAAATACTTATTTATTGAAAATATATTTATAAAATATTTAATAAATAATGAATAAAAAGCTTCAATACCTCTAAGTTATTTAATATACTTTCACTATTTAAATAATATTTATTTTTTTCAATTATTTATAATTAGTTTTATGTTTTTTGATAATTTTTTAAAGTTATTACACAATTTTTTATTTAATCTTTTTTTTAAATAATATATAAGATATGATTTAGTTATTTAATTATTTATTAAATTTAACAATTCATAAAATTAGAATTTATACTATTATTACATAATTGTGTTATTAATTTTGTAAAATATAAAATTATTATTAATTCAAATATGATGAAATCTATTATAATTATTTTTCTACTCTTAAGAAATTTTTTAAATTTATTAATAATTTCGTTATTTTAAATATTTAAAATTTAGTTATGTTAAATATTTCATTATTTAAATGTTTAAGTAATAAGTAATATGTAAAACATTTAATTTTTTTTTGTTATTTAATTTTTATTTATTTTAAAGTTATTATTTAATATTAAATACTTTGTTATTTAAAAAATTTAGTTATTGAAATATTTAAATATTATTATTTATATTGAAATTTTTAAATTATTATTTAGTTATTAAATTTAATAATCCATAAAATTCTAACTTATATAGTTATTACATAATTTCATTATGAATTTCATAAAAAATACAAATTTATTAATAATATGAATATTATGAAATCTATTATGATTATTTGTTGTGTTTTTAATAAATATTTTAAAGTTATTACATAATTTCATTATAATAATTATATAAGTGTTAAATTTTTTAATTGAAAAAATTTTTAGATAGATATAGATGAAAGATGGGGGAGAGGATAAATAAGGAATTAGAGATAGTTAGAGATAATTTAGGAGAAAGTATTTGATAGTTATTTTCCTAATAAAAGGGAGATAAGCCTGTTTTCAAAACCATGATTTAAACTACTAAATTATTCATTTCCGATAGTTAGTGATATTTGGATTCCAATGAAAGCAACTTAAATTCCAGACACATGCACTCTAAGATTTCATTTTATGATATTTAAGAATTATAAGTTAAGTTCAATTGTTCTAAAAATTAAAACATTTTCATTATAAATTCATAGTTATTATTTCATTGCAATCATCTTAAAAAAATTGACTACATTATTCATTAATATATGACAAATTAATACCTGGACAAAAAATCTTATATAAAAATAGATTTAGAAGAGAAGTTAAATAATTTTAAAATATAATTATTAATTTTTACTGAGCATTTTATTTTGATAAAATAATATATAATAATTATAAAAAATGAATAGAATTCACTACTTGTAGAGCTATGGAATACTTGTCAGACATTAAAGGTGGGCCTTGCAACCATTGATTTATTTACTCTTTTAATGGTGGTAGAAGATGAGACCCCTTTCGATCCTCTGTGTACACCTCTCTTTCCAAATATAGTCCATACTAAAATTGATGGAAGAGCTCTAATGAGATGATGGATTTGAGAGTTTTTCGAAGCAGTAGTAGTCCACCAAAGTTTCACCCTATCCACAACATGTTGTGCATGAATGATGAACCCCAAATAAATTGTTATAGAAAACCCACAATTTATTAGCTAGAGCACCACTAGCAAAAACATGATTAACTGATTCTTCAGAACAACAACGTTTTGAAGCTAATTGAACACTTCGTCTCTTAATTGTATTGTCCAGAGGAACTACATCATGCACTACTCCCATTGCTTTACTAGAAAAGCCAAGAAAAAATTTAAAGAGCTGGTGTGATATGTTTAGGGGTGGCCACGAGCTGAGCTCTTCATGAGCTACTTGAACTTGGCTCGTGAAAAGCTTGGTTTCAATTGAGCTTTGAGCCGAGTTCGAGCCCAATTTACAGGTTCGTTTATTAATCAACCAGAACTCGAGCCTAATAAAGCTCGGCTTGTGAACCTGCTCAAATAGCTACATAATAATAATAATAATAATAATAATAATAATAAATTATAAAAAATAATATATATATATAATATTTTTATTTTTATATATGATAATAATTAATTATTATAATTCTTAATTTTTTAAATATTAAATAATATATATATATATATATATTCATAAAATATTTTTCTCAAATCAAGCTCAAACCTTATACTACCTTGATGAGTCGAGCTCAAATAACTAGTTATTCGACTTGAATCCACCCCTAGATATGTTAGAGCTTAAACGCTTGGCATTTCATCATTGCCAATGGTTGATTGGAAAAGGTGACATCTCCTCTTGGTATGACAACTGCACAGGCAATGGACCTTTAACTTTTGAACTTGAAGAGAATGGGATCCAAGACACTAAACTAAACCAAGTGATGTTGGTGGATGGCAGCTAACTTTAACGAAGTTCCTGAAATCTCTCTCCATATTATAGAGCTAATTTCTTCTTCTAAATTTTCATTGAGTGATGACGATGACAGGCTTATTTGGAAATGTAAAGCTAATGGAAATTTCTCTCTCTCTCTCTCTCTTCAGCATGGGATATGATAAGAGACTATGGTCCTTAAGTTGAACGATATATAAAAATTTATTTGAACTACTAAAATTTTTCATTTTGGTATTTAGAGATATTTGGATTCCTACAAAAGCTACTTAAATTCCCACCACATGCACTCTAGGATATCATTTTATAATAATAGCTTTTATTATTAAGAATTATAAAATAACTTTAATTGTTTTAATAAAAAATTAAAACATTATTTTATTATAAAATTCATCACTATGTCATAGCAATTAAAGTTCAATTTTCTAATTGTTTTCTTTCTATTTTGATAGGGAGGTAAAGGATATGCTAGAAACATTGTGTTTGAGCAAATAGTATCTCACGGTGCAGTGCTACCAATTGTCATTGATCAAAACTATTGTGATGTTAACTTCAAGGATCTATGTGTTCATAATCTTGTAAGTTTGTCTTATTTCCTGAGAACAGGTTTTGTTTAATTTATGAGTATAAGAGTTTATCAATCCCTTCTCTAAATACATATGAWCTTTGCATTAAATCCATGGTGTTCAAGGTATCAAATCTCAACATGGATTTGAATAATTCATATATTTAGTATTTTTTATAATGTTACAAGCATAGCAAGTATTAAAAAAGTTATTTTTATATGATATTAATTGATTTTAAAGTGATTTTTATTTTCAGAAATCAGCGGTACAAGTGAGCAACATTACATACAACAATGTTTATGGAACCTCAGATGGAGAAATAGCAGTGAAATTCGATTGCAGTGAGGTAGTTTCTTGCACAAACATTTCTCTCAACAATGTAAATATTCCAACAACCATCAAAGGTGAAGAAACAAAATCCTCTTGCATTAATACACATGGAAGAGCTCGAGGGGAAGTAGTTCCAATGGTTCCATGTTTGCTTCGTTATTAATTTTTTTTTTTTTTCAGAAGTTATTATTGATGTTACATTCAAAGAAAAATGGTTACGTAATTCAAGACTACAGTGTAAAAATTAAAATTTATGGAATGATAAGTTATGATGATCTGAATATTTTATTCCTTTGGGGTTTTAAGCCATGATCTTAATATTTGTTTTTTTTTTTACTTTTCTTTCAAATGTTTTATTTATATTTAACGAATAGCGTTAAAAAATCAAGTACGTTTTTATACAAACTAGAATTATAAAATTCCACTATTTATTCTTTGCGACATGTAAATGTTGCAAAATATTACAACATACAAATGTAGTGTAAGCCCATGTGAGCCCAGTTACTCAAGCTATGATGGAATTACTGGGCTGTTGGGTCCCCAACAGACAAAGCATTCTCTTGTAGGTGAAGTGGTCCAAACCAAAAGCGAGTGCAATTAATGTTACATGGATGAAGCGGCTGATTGTAGAAGATTTTATCTCACCTTCCTAACTTGTAGGGTCTACAGTTTGGGTTGGGTGAAGCTTGAATCCAACTCAAGACAGGTTAGGTCAGGTTGGGTAGTGACCTTGGCCAACCCGACGACCCAATCCAGACCAAACTTCGTTTCATATCTATATGTACAGATATTAAACATTTAGGGTCCATTTGGCTTGTAGTCAGAATTGGAATCAAATCAGAATTGTCTATTCCTCCTGCCTGTTTGGATCAGACATGATTTAGAATTAGTTGGAATGGATTCTCATTCCCAAAGAAAGGGGAGAGAATGGCCATTCTCTCAAATGGGGCAACGCCATTTCACCAGGAATGGGATTAGGATTTTGATTTCGCCCGACCAAAACCAGCTTCTAATTAAATATAAGTTTTTCCTGTCTTGATCCACACCCCACCAAAAATCTCTTTCTTTACCCAAGATGTCATTACAGACCTTAATTAGTTAGTAGGAAACAATCTGATTGCTATAAAATAATTGGAAATAGAAGAGACCTTAGTCTTCAACATCACAGTTCTACCTGCATGAGAAAGATAATGACCCTTCCAGTTCCACCTACTCAACCTGGAAGTTACTTTCTCATACACTTGCTTGCTCTCCTCCTTCAAAGACCGACATTCTTGTAGATAACAACCTAAGTATTTTTCTCGATGAGACACGTACAGAATTCGTGATACGAATCTTATCACACCGCATAGTGTTCTTGCTAAAAAGTATAGGTGATTTCTCAAAAGTCACCTGTTGCCTAGACCACTTCTCAAACAAATGCTATATATGGGTGATTTTGTGTCTGTTTGGTATCAATGTCGTTGCTCCAACAAATGGGAATTCATCAATACAACGTTGAAAAAACTGGTGCTCTAGGAAATGCCGGTTGTTTAGAACCGTTTTTTATGGTATTCTAAGATACGCCTTAGAAATCGGGAAGGCATGGCTTGGAGTAACGCCGAATTTGGCGCTTCTTAGAGCTGAAGCTCGTTGCTGCCAAAAGGACATGATGTGGCACTGGATAATAGATAGCAGTGCTGAAAACGTTTCCTGGAGCATTGGTATCAAATAGAAAACATTGTTGTTGTTCCAGGAAACGTCCTAAATGGCAGCAACATTTCCAAACAAAAAAAAAAGACAATTTTCTCAGAAAACGATGTTGTATCTGCAGAATCAATGCCAAATATATACTTTGATGATCTTAGCCATATCCCTCCGCCCAAAGATGAGGATATATCAACAAACATCAAATGATTTAACTTTACACCACCTTGACCAAACCAAATCCCATAGCGTCTGTTTGGCATCGATGCCGTTGCTCCAGAAAATGGCTAATGACACATTAACACCACATTGAAAAAAATGATGCTCTAGGAAACGTTTATTGTTTGGAACCGTTTTTCCATAAAAAACGGTGTTTCAAGCCACGCTTTGAAAATCGAAGAGGCGTGGTTTGGAGCAACGTCGAATTTGACGTTTTCTCATATTGGAGATCATTGCTGCCAATAAAGACATGATGTGGTAGTGACATGCATTTCTTATAATGGATACTAATGCTGAAAACAGATATGAAGCACTGGTACCAAACAGAAAGTGTTGTGTTGTTGCTCCAGGAAACGTCTTACTTGACAACAACATTTTCAAACAAAAAAAATACACCATTTTCTCAAAACATGGTGCTTCCAACCCATACATTAACGGCACCTTTTCTGAGAAAACGATATTGTATCTGCAGCATCGATGCCAAAGATATACATAAAGATCATGAGAGTCAATACGAAGAAAAAAAAAAAAAACATTCATGATAACACATCCATGCCCGAAATAAATAGATAGAGAGATAAGAGACACGCTTGTCTCACTCTATGCGGAGAAAGACTCAAGGGGAACACCATTGACCAAAAGAGAGAATGAAACAGTAGAAATGCAGTTCTTTCATGAGATGACAACTGTTCAGAAAAACCTACAAGGCACAGAACATGTAAGAGAAATGGTCATTCAAGCCTATCATATTCCTTTTAGAGATCAAATTTGAGAATAAACACTTTTAAATATCTTTTAAATATATCCTGATAGTAAACACTTCATAAGAAAACTCGGATATTTGTGAGATTTTTGGTAAGATCGCATTTCCAATGTTCCTTTTTTTTTTTAATATAAATGTTACTTTTTATTTGGGGTAGATTCAAATATTCCTTGCAATACCAATGTTTTAAAACCCGTATCCTCTATTTTGTCAAAAAAAAAATGTAAAAGATTAGAGCATGGAATCTTTAAAAAATAAAGGGTAATTATAAAGGCCCCCCTTATACTACAGGGTCAGTGATAAAGACCCCTCTAAACTTTTACATTGTGACAAATACCCCCTCATAGATGATGGAAACTGTTAAATTACCAAAATACCCCAATAAACTTTCTCTATTTTCCTTTTCTTGTCGTTCTTTCTTAAAACCTAACTGATCCAAAAATACCTTTAATCATTGTCAAAAAAAGAAAAAAAAAAAATCTATCTTTCTGGTGAGAAAGCGATCATCGCCAGAAAAGAAAAAATCTCTTGAAAATTCATCATCCTTGATCTTGAACCAATGCATCAACCAAAACTAGCCATCTTAAAAATGTGTCTTCTAGAGTTACGATCCTCTGTTGAGGATTTGTTCTGTGGTGAGGTCCATAAGTTGAACTTCTAGAAAACTTTCACCAAAAGAACTAAAATAGAAAGGGATGGTTTCATGCCCTGAATAAAATGAGATTTCTGAACCACATTAGAAGATTACAGTCTGACGAAAGTAGCAAATGGGTTGCAGAGAATAGATAGTCGAAGCACATGAAAAGACTACAGTACCTAACGTGTGTGTGTGTGTCCGAAATGTGTGCCTTCGATGGGTAGATTTCATTATTCTCTAGAGAGCTATTGACTTCGCTCTATGAGCTGCAGTTGCAGAGCTAGTCCAAAACCTGCAATGCCATGGAATGCCTCCACTATTTACCAATTGAATGGCTGATTAATAATCTAAGCTTCTCAACAGACAGAATCAAGACAAGGTATAACCATTCCATGGAAGATCGACCCAATAATCAAGGACACTTGAGAAATGGCAAGGGACACTAATATCTTGGTATTAATACAAGTCATCGATCCAGAGAAGGTAAACAAATTGCAGAGCAGACATAATAGTTAATCATTGACGTCAAGAAATTAAGGGAGATGTGGAGGGATTAAGCTGCACCATATGCAAGGATTTATGGAGCTCTTTTCTCTTGCATTACAAGAAAAGAAAATTCAAGAACCACTTCTATTTGCAACTGGTATTTGTTGACGGCAAAACAGAGCAAGCACCACGTACCGTCATAGGACTTTAACTGGTGCAATTGCAGGCCCATTGGAAGATGACGCCAAAACAGAGGACCACTTTGTACGCCAATTATTGAATCTCTCATATATTTCTTATTCATCTCATCAAAACGTAAGTATTTATCCACAAACGATCATTTACAAGAAAGCAACATATATCTTATACACGTCTCCAAAGAATTTGTAACCTGCTTTATGAAACTGCAACGATGAAGCTGAATCGAATAAATTCAATCAGGTTGTGCCCACAAGTCCATACATAGCACGAGAGGAATTGACCGGATTGATTTGGAAACTTTGGGACATTTTGACATATATCGTTGGTTTTACTCAAATCGACCTAGTTGTTGGACACTTGAACTCAAGTACATACTAAACTAACCCAGCATGGCCCTGTTTCTCAGTTCAGCATCCATGTCTATTTTCATATTTATTAATCATCCACAGGCCTAGTTCCAGCTTAGTCGAATTAACAAAAGCAGCTTTTGGGTTCACACAAGTAGTTATCTGTGGTAATGAACCAGTTCCATCAAAGGAGCAAATACATGAAACATTTCTCAATTCTGGATATAGGATTGTCAGATTTCAATCGAAAGGTCAAGTCGTTCTTTCTTGTTGGAGGTAGCGTCGTCCCTTTCTCTTCTGTCTTTTAGATCATTACTTTCTTTTTTTACATCCATGGATTCGAATGCTGCATTTTTAGTTATACAACCAGAATCTCTCAATGATCATCGCAGAGAAGTCTGTGATCAATCAAACATATCGTCCAGAGCAAGGTTCTAAATATTGATATGCCCGATATACCGGTAGGGGCGTATCAGACAGTATCGGTACTTATTTTATTACTTTTTTTTAACTTGTTTTTCAAATCTGGTTCAGGAGGGCGGTTTAAGGTTCCTCCACCCCTGAACCGGTCAAAACCCCGATACACCCTCTATAAGGGCATATCGGGGTGCTCTCAATACAATATGTATTAGCCGATATGTGTCGAATTTTTGAGCCTTGGTCCAAAGATTTGCCTTGACAACATTTGCACGATTGCTTTCGTGTTTGACCCAAAATCCTTGTCTCCCTCATTTCCATCGCCAGAATTCACCACCGCATTTGAAAGTATTGTCCGCCTGAGCAATGAAAGGTTTGGCTCAATTAATCGAACGCTCTGGAAATAGTTCCCCAAATTTTTGGCTTTGCATAGACTTGGGGGATTTTTAGAACCGTGGCCATTTTTCAAAAAAAGCGGTGTCATTGTTTGGTTCAGCCAATTATTAAAAAATCAGGCATGCCTTGAAAATTAAGACCCCACTGATGCATGAAATGCCAAATCGATGAATCATTTCCCCCAACGGTTAACTAATGTGTATCCTATGTGGTGCTTATCTGTCAACACATACATAAAAAATAGTGATAAAAATCACCTTACCAAACAGCATAATATTACTCACTGCCTATGTGGTAAAAGCGTTTTTTTGTAAAAAACGGATTTTAGATGCATAGGCATTTTTTCTTAAAAATTGGTCCCAAAAAATACCCACTTCCAAACACCATGTTTGTGAATGGTGATTAACTTTATCTTAGCCGATGGAGATACAACATGGCAGCCTTGACAGCAAGAACATGAGACTATAGCCACATTTTCTCGGGGACGCCAAGGAGGCAGCGAGGACAACATATTACTTGAAAGAACAATGGTGAAGATGATTTCATAAATTAAAAAATAAAAAAGTAATTTGGGCATTTAAAAAATTTTAAACACTCAACTGAAAATATTTTTTGAAATTAACTGACAGAACATTAATGGAGGGGGAAGGGTCTTTGTCGAAAAAAACAATACAAGGCTATCTTTGTCACTTACTAGGGGGCTTTGTAATTTACACAAAAATAAACCATACACAGCACAACCATTAAGGGGTAGGGATCAAAGGCATAAAAAAGACAAAACAGCATCTCACCACTAACGCAAAGTTGAAGGTTGCTTTAACGCATTTCCAGTGGGGTCAATTTTGGCTGTTGGGGCCCGCTGTTGAGAGTTTCTGGGCTGGCGAGAGTAACCTCGTCGGCACTAGGAGGGGAGGAGCGGCGAGAGTCGTGACGAACAGCAGACATCCTGATCCTGGTTGGTTGACAAGGTCAAGTGGAATGGGTCATGGAAACCATCCTGGTTGGTTGACGAACAGCAGACATCCTGGTTGATGGCAAATATCACCTTAAAAAAGTGAATGACGGGTGCACGGATATCGGATATCATTCTCAGGTCCACTGTTTACGTGGAAAAACTAATTAAAAAGCATTCGTTGAAACCAAATTAAAAAGCAATTCAAGGATGGGCGTTGCATGATTGCATCGCAAATTTTACATTGCGATTCCTCATTTCTCATTCGCAGGTTCCAACAGCACTAAATTGTGCAATTCTTGCAAAGGCGCAATCAACAGAAAAACGGACCAAGAGCTAGCGATTGATAGCAAGTTTTAATTGTTCAACATTTCATCTTCCAGAAATTCATTAGAAAGTGAAATAATTGCAGAGTAATGAATTATTATTTAGGGCATGAAGGAGTAATTCTCATGTCGTACTGATGATCCCTGGAAGCTATGTACAAATTATGACTGTACAACTTACCACTGTTGAGATCCCTGTAAACTGGAATTATTATTAACAGAGGCATGAGATGAAATGATACGAGGATGATAATGACAAAGCAAGGCAATAATAGACGTGGGCTACAGCAGATTCTGGTCCCCAAATGTGTTTTCCCCACTGTAAGTAACATAGAGAAATCCATCTTCGTCCTTCTTTTCATCATATATTGTCGACATTATTGCACCTGTAATAGAAAACCATATGGCAATTAGCCTTTGATGTCAAGCCTACACAATGCAAATGACCGCACAAAAATGTAATGTTAAACAAAATTTGCTTTATAGGTACACCTGTAGGTGGGAGGACGTTATCTACAAAAATGAAAATTGCCTTTTCTGCACTCAATTTTATTCTCTTCCGGATTACATACACAAATTGTCCCACCGTCAAGTCAGCAGGAACCAGGTACCTGAAATTTTCGCATCCAGATTATTAAGGAAAAAAAATCATATTTAAATTAGTGGCATGGTGTCCTTATACCTCAAATAAATTATCATATGAACTCCAATGTCCAAGTCTTTCAGCTAGGAGACCATAACAGTACTAATCAACTTCTGGTTTTTGAATTTATGCAAAAGAAACTAGTCATGCAGCAAAGGGACCATAAAGCAAACAAACCATCTAGTCTCCTGTATAAAGACCCCCTGAATTGGCTAGATCACCCTCCTAAAATGTGGACAAAAAGAACTTTCCTAAGAATCCCTCCTTCCGGTAGGGGAAGTTCTCTCTTGTTCTTTTGACCATAATTTTAAACTTCCAATCACTAGCAATACCAAGTGAAGAGTCTAAGCATGAGTGGATGGTAGAGATGTAGCGGATACCAATCCAGAAGTTCAAATATAACAAGTCTAGCCAACCAAACCCAGAGAGAGGAGAGAGAGGGAAGGTGAAATGCACCAAGACCACACATATAGAAGTGTAGCTTTTACGATTATATATGAAGTATGTTTTCTAATGATATCAAGGACAACATTGTTTTTACTTTATTCCTTTGTTTCTTTTCCTAATAATGGATGTGTTAATTTTCTGTTTAAAGCATAAGTGGATCATAATTTTCCAAAAATGAAGGCCAAACCAAAACGTGGCAGTAGAAGTAAACAAGGCATTAGTAAAATGGAGTAATGCTTACTTTTTCTTATCAATGTTTGGTATGTCACTTCTTTCAGCCTTCTCCACAATCACCTTAAAATTATAAAGCCAATGTCATACAAAGTTAAATGGATCCCAGTAAAGTACAAGACAATAGGATGCATATAAATCATAGATATTCAAGCTCCAATGGATCAAAAAAATTAAATTACTTTAACCACAAAAAAGCGCCTCTTCTTGTTTAGCAGGAACATTATTTTCTAAACTCAAACAAAAAATACAGGGAGCTGTAAGAACTACTACTACAATAGGGTAAATAAATAGGCAGGTTCCACAATATCACAACGATATTGATAACAATTTTGCCACTTAGATCACTTGGTGAAATTGGGGATCTGATACGGGTCGTGGAACTAGTCGAGTCAGTCACTTGTTACAAAAGCTGTTAAGGATGCTAGTTTGGCATTCAGGAGTTTAAGCAGCACAAAAGAATTTGCATGTGGCTACTTGTTTTGGGGACAAGAAACCCTGTTTTCTCTCTATATAATATATATACATATAAGCCTGCTACTAATCAGGTCATTTAGAGAAGTCCAAACAGCACAGAAGGCTTGCATGCGGCAACTTGTTTTTAGTGCCAAAAAAGAAACTTCATGCTCCTCTCTATAACGTGTATTAATGGAATAAATTTCAACCCAGCTTTAACCAACTTAAACTGAATTTTGTGATAATGCAGCATCATAGTTTTCAAGGCACCAAGGCGAGGCTAGGCGACAGGGGGGGTGCCTTGTCGCCTAGTTGCCCTAGGCAATGGATTTTTTTAAGTAAAAACATGTATCCTAGGGTAGTTCCCTAGGTTCCATAATCATATCGCCTTAATAAATATCCATAATTTTCATAAGAAAGGTATAAAATTCATGTTAAAGTATAGAAAATCAACATATTCCAACATATTCATAAGAAGAAAATGAAGAAAGAAAAGAAAATTAAAAAATATATATATAGGGGCTGAACCCCTATTTCTGCTACAGGAAAAGAAGAAAAGAAAAGGTGGAAGAAGAAGAAGAAGAAATTAGTATATAAACACACAAAATTAGTAAAGAAAAAGAAGAAAATGTGTTGATTGGACAACATTTTATGTTTCTTCCTTACTTATTGGTTCAGGTTTTGAAGTCTTCGAGGGTTCAATACAGCATTTAGCAATGTTTGTGTTGATTAAACCCTAACAAATAATAAATAATAAAAAGAAATTAGTATATAAACACACAAAATGAATAATTTAGTTTAAAAAATGTATTTTATAATTATAAGTTATAACCTCAAAAAATTAAGAATATAAAAGGTTTTTATAACATGCTATAGAAAATTGCTTGAAGATTAGGCGAGGTGATCCTCCAACCTTGACAACTATGTCAACATCCCAGCTTTCTCGGAAATGTCTCCAAAATATGCCCTTATTGTTGTTTGTGCTAATGTAGCATCCCAACTTGAACCAACTTAAACAGATATTTTTTTTTCAAGGAAGATCTGGCATTTGTGGACTATGGAGAGATGGCAACAGGGTGATTGTGGCACTATACTTAAGACCAATAGAGCAAGGAGATTCATTAAGAACTGATTTGATGGCCATAGACCAAGGCTCAAAGCTAGATTGCTCATTAAACTTCAAAGACATCTTGGTGGAAAGTGAATCATACATAACAGTAATTGTTTATTAAAAAATAATGTGGGCCCTTCGAGGTAATAGAAACATTCTAAGGGATATAAGGAAAATGATGAGGGAATTGAGAGCTGAAGCACAATGGACAGCAAGGGGGGCGAATTTTTGGCAAATGATTTAGCCAAGCAAAGGAGTGAGCATGGATTAAATGTATTGGAGGAAGACTTACAGAGACCAAGACACAGTTGTTTAGATAAAAGGTGTATTTGGGAGTTGGGACGGTAGCCAAAGGGGGGGGCCAAAGAGACCTGGTCTGATACAGTAATATAAGACAAAAGGCATTATCATTTAAAAGGAATATATGGCGATGGCCCTAAACAGAGTATAATAGGAAAGCAGGACTCATGAACAGATAACAAGTTAGAGGAAGCTTAACTGAGTTCGTATATGCTATTATGCTTACACATTATCTACTGACAATATAAATACAAGATACAATCATCACTAAGAAGAAACCAGTAGTATTGGTCTGCCTCAACCAAAATGTTGATTAGTTAGTGCCATAGTGATGAATATCGACTAGAAAAAAAAAGTGCTAAACTTAAAAGGCAAAACATCCTAGAAATATACAATAAAGCATGTAAATATAAGAAACAAAACATCACTATCCAAAACAAATCCTTTCATGTGCCAAAATGTCGAGAGCCTAAAATAGCCATTTGGACAACTACCTAGCAGGGGTCCTAATAGCCAGTCAGCTTGTCAACAAGGATCATGAATGCTTAATCGGTAGATTAGTATCTTAGTGATAGTTTGATACTGGTTGCATTTGCAAACCATAGATTCAAGTGAAATGGAAAAGGCTGCTCGGAAACTACTGTGTACCCAATAGATTCCACATATGCCTTATAGCAGATATGTCTCCCAAACACATAATGCAGTCGAATTTCTCAACATTATACTACATTTTTTGTTTTTAACAAAAATCAACAGAACCAGGAAAAAAAGAGACAGCAATTACCAATTCACAAAGATATCCAAACATCTTTAAGAAATAGCATATAACAAAAACTCTTGGGAGTCAGGAAGGGGGGACTCCTCAAGAAACACCAACCAACCCAAGAGTGAAGTCCTTAATCTTATAGAGTTTACAGCACGTCGAAAAATTACAAAACCAAAAAGTAGCTGAGAAAGAATAGCCGGTATGATAGAGAAACAAATAAGAGTTGTATAATTATGTTTTACTTCTTACCGGAATCCTGTCTGGATATTTTTCCCTAATCCTAGCAGCCTCAGCACGCCTCTTCTCTGAAGTTGAACAGTCAAAGAAGCATAAATTTAACAATATCGTAAAAGAAAGAAACCAGAAAAAAGAAAGATAGCACTCTAGTAAATGAAATGAAAGCAAACATCAGGGCATACCAAGGTCATGCTCTTGCTTGAAGTAACTTTTTGCCATTTGTCCTCGAACTACTGCAGAAAAAATTTTAATTTTTTTAAGAAAAATCGTAGAGCATAAGAGGGGGGACAAGTCAATTTGTCCAATAAACAAGAATACACAACTTAAAGAATTGCTAGAATCCAGAGATACTGCCAATAATAAGAGTCAATATTAATTTAAAATCACACTACAGCAACCATAAAGAAAGAAGATGATGATGATGATGAAGAAGAACCTATGAGATTTTAAGCTTTAATCAGAAAAGAAGAAAGAATTAACTACGATATGCCTCTCAATTAACAGAAGAAAATCAGATAAGCAATATATCCCAACGAATAAGAACAACCGGAGGAAAAGAAAAGATCCAGAAGTGCCTAATAAGTTGGCTTCATCGACATGATAAACATAAGCCAGGAAGAGAGGGGGAACCTAACTAAGAAAATTTTCAACAAGAATATGCCATCAATACTTTTTATCAAAGAAAAAGGAAAAAAAAATCTAACAACAAACACCTCGTAATCATAGCCTCACAACAATTTCGAACTGATCATCCAAGTGAATTAATGATCAATCAAGAAACATAAAAGGAAATAGAAAGAAGATCAAAAAATTAAAACACAGAAACCCTAACCTCCAGAAGGAAGAAACAGGAAAGAAAGACGAAACGAAAACTCCTCTTTCCCTAGACTCTCAGAGAACCAGGCAACCAGCAAGGGGTCTGATCGTGTTGTTGAAGATAAAAAGATGGCGCCTTTTATTTATAATTGTAATAAAAATAATAATTATAATGACTGCCTCCTCTTAATTCCTTCCTTGTAGACGATTTTACCCCTTACACGCGGCGCTTTCAATAAGACTGATATGGTATTTATGTAAAATAACTTGAAAATGGGTCTTGATGTAGCGTCTAGCTGCTTCCAGCTAGAAGTTATTTGGCTTCCCGTTGGACGACGGACGAGGTTGATTTGCAAGGAAACAATAAGAGAATAAGGGGTGGTTAATCCGGCGAGGTCGCTTCGATGCTTAAGTTAGTATACTTGTTATGAGCTGAAATAGCTTGAGAATATAGAGAGTTAGAGAGCAAGGAAATGACGCGTACCTTGTGCCCTCAGGGTTGGAGCCTTTAAATAGTGAAGTCATCGCGGGTTTCACGGAGCGGTTCCGGGATCCTCGTTACTATGAGATCTGTTTCCGCATTAATCAGGAGATAACGTTGCCAACTGATAAGACTTATATATTCCACCCGAACCGAGCGGGAGGAAGATAAGGCTTGCTGTTATAAGGTGTGATCTCGTAAGATTCGAATCTGATGGTGAGGTTTCCAGAGTCATCAAGTAGTGGTCTGAGTCGATATCCCCGAACTGATGCTCTTCAATCCCAAATTAGAATGAACCCCGAAATACCTTGGGACCGAGGTGGTCCTGATGCAGCCTTGTACCGAGGTGACTCATGCCGAGATGGACTGATTATCCGAGTTCGATCTGTTACGGTATTGATATGTCGGACTGAACTCTCATCTATTGATCAAGTTGTGTTCATGTGTCTCCCTGTTATTACGGGCCAAATCGCCTTTCATCATGTCCATATGTTAAATGGGTCTTATCCATCTCCAATTAAAAAACTTCTTTTTTTGTATGTTTGCTTATTATTAACTTAATTTTTCAGAGCAATTGGAGCAGTCTTGTCTTTTCTTGGGGAAGAAGTTCGAAAAAAAGTAGAAGTTTGAATAAAAACGGGGGAGATGACTTTTATGACATTTTGTTATTAGTATTACTTATTAGGTAGGCCGTTTACCTTTCACAGAATCAAGAAATTCACGGGATGGCGGTGGCCCCACCAATTGAACGGTCGTGATTTCTGTAGGTCATGTCTATGAAGATGACAAGGATATAGATTCATCGTATCATGCCATCTGTGTTCAAATGGATAGAAGCTAGAAGCATATTCCAACCTTCCAAGTATCCTCTCCTCGTCGGTGATGATGACTTCGGCGCACTCCAAGGGAGTACATGTGAAATTGTGCTCCCAAGCTTAGAACGGTTGGTTCGAAATCTTCTCACTTTTGAGTTTGTGGGTGGTTGATAAAGGGTTTGCAAATTGCAATTCTGATTTGGGGGATCGTGCACGAAAAGTGCGATACAAGGAAAAACATTGTGTCAAGTAACTGAGTACACAGGATTTAGGGAACTAGGGGACCCATGACCTGTCATTGCCCCATAGATAAAAATTAAAAAGAAATATGAAGAATGGAAAACCGCAATGAAAAGTCGGAAAAGGATTGACGTGGATTACAAGATTCTAACACATGGCCAACAAAGGCCTCTCCTATCTACTGAATGGCCTGGATTAACCGCCTGATTTCTCTCTGTGGCTTAAAAATTAAAATAGAGAAGTTCCTTGTTTGACCCAGATAAGAACCCTCTTTACGCATTATGCAATGTGTCGTACACCGTGGCAATCGATCGGCTTCCGTGGAGGCAAATTGGAGTCATTTTAAGTCGAGTCAATAGATGATAGGGTTGATCATGGATTAGACTTTAGACGGGTCAATGATTCAACCACTTAAGGATAGATTTAAATGATTTAAACAATTTAACCATTTGGGTCGGTGTCGGTTTCAAAAAAGTTACCTAACGGGTCGAATCATGTCACTTTATCGGGACCTAATCTGAACTTTAATGGTTGTATAATAATATAAAAGAAGGTAAATCTCTTATCGCTTAAACTATCCTTATTCTTATTGTTTACATATGGTCTTAAGTTTTTTGACGATTGATATGTTATTAATCGCTGCCTGACGCCTCTATAGTTAGGCAAACCGACTCCATGGGAATCACTTGTTTCCTGCCTCTACAGTCGTTCTCCCCAACCACCATCACCGTTAAGAGGAGAGCTCCGTTTGGAAGTTGTAGTGGCCATTGTCACATGTGACGATAATACCAAAATCACCGCCACCGCTGCAACTTCCAACGGTGGCGGTGAACAATAAGCGTATTTTAGGAATTTTAAATAATTAATACTCACATCCATGGTTTTCAAAACCAGACCGGACTGGATGGTCCGATTGGAAAAATCGGGAACCGATTACCTGACCGTTGATTTTGGTCAGTAATCCGCTGAATCGGCCAGTTAACCTTTCGAATGATTTTGACTGTTTTTCAATTTTTTTTTATTATTTTTTTTTTGTTAGAACGGGCCGATCGTTCAGATTGAACAGTCGGACCATTCAAACCAGTAATTGGACCCCTAACCAGTTTGATTTTAAAAATCATGCTCATGTACTGTCACATGTGAATAATGTGACGAAAAATTAACAACAATGGAGGTTTTAAACAATTGTTAGAAAACTTGAAAATAACTTGAGACAATTTCATGAACAAGAGGGGAAATTTAAGAGATTTACCCTATAAAAAATGCATCATAGTAATTGTCTTTCTTATAATAATAGTCAAAAAGTATATCCAATGAGAATTATCAATATTAAGCATCCTAGGAATTTTTCACGTGGCAATTTAGTTTGGGGTTTATGAGCAGTTCATATATTCTTATCCCACTTTTTGAAAAATGAAAGAGTGGCAATTGTTGTCCACGTGGCTATTTTAGTGGTTTGGTGATGAAAGAGTGGCAATTTAGTTTTGGCAATGTTTTTCACGTGGCAATTGTTGTTCGATACCATGTCAGTGGTTTGGTGATAGATGGACCACGTCGCTATATATCCTTAATGCACAGGATTAGAAACTGAAGTCATGGCGCTTTTGACAATGTCTCCTTGGATCTGGAGTTGAAGTCTCAGGATATCTGAGAGGAGGGAGATGCACCCAATCACCCATTGTACTACAATTAGCTCCTTTATGGGAAAATCTATGATGTGGAAAAATGTGGTATCAAAAGAGTTTTGACCGATCAAAATCCACTCATAAATTTTGATAAATAATACCTAATAGGCTATTAGGTTTTTTATTCCGATTGATTAATCAGAAATCTTTCAGATATCATATTTTTCCCATCAAATTAATGAACACGTCTTAGTTGACTTTTTGTTTACGGGATTCATTAAGGCTCAGTTTAGAAGGAGTACAAAGACAAATACGTAAAGTGCAAAACATTGTATTTAATTTGTATTATTTTATATGTATTTACACTGTATATATTTATATTTATATATACTCTTTCCAAAATCGAACCTGAAGTCCTTTTTACCAAATAACAAAAGTCTCTGAATGTGTATTTCTGAGGTTGAGAAAAAAATAAAAGGCTGAAGTGAAAGATTATTATGATTCCCTGCACCAATCTGAATGTTGTTTTATCAGAGTTTTATTCTTGAGAAAACTTTTGATATAATGGACCCTATCGGTTGCCTAGATAAGTATGCATTACACCTATTTGGTGATCCCATTGGATAAGCAATGTGGGCCATTGTGTGTTCATTGTGGTATAGTGGAAGAAAGCTCGGGTGTTAATGTAACAGCATGTACTATGCTTATATTTAGGCATAAGATTCATAAAGGCAAATATCCATTTTATATAATATAAAGAAATAATATYGAGATAAATTTGGAGATTCACGAAGAATATAGTTGAGTCCAATGTCACATGCATCTATCTGACCACATGCCTTTCATGTGATAGTTGCATATGCTTTTTTCTGAATCCCCAAACTTCAGAAAGAAAGTGTAATTCCCCTTCACGTTTTGGTCTTATAACGATGCAAGTAATTAAAATCAATTTGAATGCCAAATGTGTTTAAGAGCGATAAAGTATAAGAATGGAAAAACTAGGGAGAAACAAGGATATCTTTGAGCTTAAAAAGTTCACCATGGAGTCTTTGTGATTAGGTAAACTTGAGATCATATCAGTCTCCCGCAGCGTCCCACAGCACATCCCCGCCATGTATTAAGAACATCTCCTGATGATAATATCAGAAATGGTGATGTCACCATCAGAAGATGTTCCCAATACACGGCGGAGATGTGCTGTTAGGAGTGTAATTTTTTCGAATTAGGGTTGGGATTTTGTCAAAATTTCAATAGGTCCAACCTGAAGCCTTAGCCCGAAACAATGTAAACTGTTAACCTGGGCCAACCCGATTTGCACCCCTATTTGCTGTGGAACGTTGTAGGGGGCAATCTTGTGGGGGGCTGATTTGAATTCGATAAACTTAATTGAATTGAATATAAATATTCTCTCTCTCTCTCTCTCTCTCTCTCTCTAAAAATAAGCTAGAAACAAAATTCTCTCACAAATTCACAATTTCTCTCTCTCCACGTATGCATGTACCTCTCAAGCTCCTCCCTCTTCTCATATATCTCTAATCTCTTCCACTTGACTCTCTTATGGCTTCTATCTAATCCATTATTTTTAAGGGAATAAATTGTAATCTCCCTTAACAGCTCATATGCATGTCTTTTGCTTTCTAATCAGGTTACAGCATGTGTTCCACTAGCACATGATCAAGCATTAACTTAGCAAATTAGGTGGAGTTAGGAAAGAAGATATGGATTTTCATTAAAAGAAAATACACCTAAAATCAATGATTACTTTCATAAAGCTCTCTCTATTTTATAGAATAATAATCAAGAAATATATCTTTCTACTATTCATTAGGTCAGAAGTTTATCTTATACTTCCTACTAGGAGGGGTATGCAATGCATGGACTTTGTTAAGCGAAAATTGAAACGGAAATCTTATAACATTCTCAATTGAGTCAAGCCAATCCAAACCCATTAAAGTACTAGTTTTTTAGGGCTGTAA